CTGGATTGCCTTCTTGTTTTATATTAGCGCAGTCACTGATATCCTTTGAGGTTCAATTCTGCACTTGGTAGTTAATAGACTAACTTCTTGTTTAACCCTCTGATATAAATAACTCTTTTGATGTTCTCATGTGACACCGAGTACAAAGCTTAAAGGTGAACCCAGTACATATTGGGGTTAGCCTAGAGTAACACTTCTTAGATCAAAGGTTCCTGATGAACATTAAACTTGATTGAAACCTCTGGCATTTCCAGGTGTGAATCACATGCTATAATAACATTCCATTTGGAAGCAGTTGTAAATGTAGTTCATTGATTATGGATAAAATAGCAAGACAGACTGGGTCCTATAGCCTTGAGTGGCAACAATCTAAGAGACGGAAACTCTGAATTCAAACCAGATTGCACTATCCTAAAAGCGTGTATACATGTTGCTGGCTTGTGAATCCAAATTCCTACCGAAACCCTTACTATGGAATTGCATATCCAAATGAATATGACTTCTGCTACACTTGGTCAACTTTCATTCAGATGCAGCAGGTTTATTTGATGTGGCCGGCTCAACTGACCAGGTGAATGGCACAACAGATGTAGGTACAGAAACAGAACTGCAAGTTGATAAGTCTGTGACAGTAAGTTTAGAATTACTAAGTTGGTAATGGCCTTTTCTAAATTTGATTAAGAGACATAAAACTACTTTCCAACTGAACTTTCTATTGGTTTGTCAATTGATTTCAAATTAAGTATAAAATAAAACAAAAGCTAAATTTTTCATCATTTATTTATTGAAAATAAACAAATCAGAAAAGAAAATCAGAAACAATCTCAAAGAGAAATGTTCATTATTCTCTTTTTAAAACTTTTCTATTTTTAAGTTATATGAATGACCAACTACCACTCATTTCTGAGCACGCCCATCTGACAAGGCAGCCAAACCCTGTTATAAATGTCTGCCCATCCCAGTAAATACGCCTATGATTTATACTGGAAGTATTCTAAGCAGATCTTAGTTGCAGTTTCTGGGAGAGAGCATATAATCTGGTTTGATCAATTTTTGGCATATGGCCAGTATGCTTAAACCCTCACGATGAGTTATGACTTACAGCTTTTGAACAGTTCTGTCTAACCAATTCCATTTACAAGTCAATGTGTAGAATTGTTTTCAGGCACTTTCCAAAGATGTCATTGGGATTACCAGGTGCTGTAATCTTGGATGTGCAGATGGTGTAATGGATAATAGTATGGGATTATTAATTAGAAAGCCGAGTTCCAATTCCCATTGAATTTGTTATATTCCTTTATTTGCAAATCCCCTTGGTAAAGACATGAATCCACCTATTCTCCTTGTATCAATGAACCATTATTATCTCAAAAAAAAAATTCTTACACTCCAAAAATATTTTCTGGTTTTAAATAACCTGCAAAGGGTTAATAAGCCATAGAAAACAAACCAATCAATCAGCCAAAAGTGTCGTGTGCTGAAATCAGGCTGATAACATCAGGAAGTCACCTTCCCTGACAAACTGACCATGGCAAGATTTGAACACAGGCATCATGCTCAGAAAGTAAATGTTCTAACCAGTTGTCTACGTGCCCCATAAGTGATATGCATACCACATAAACCCCTAAAAACAGATGTGAAACTCTAATTCTTTACAAGTTACTCAATAAACAACTGGTATCCATTCTTCCCTTAAATCTGGGGACAGGGGTGGAAAAAAATGTTTTTGTTGATGAGGCATGACCAGTTACAGAGAGTTGCTTAAGGCATATGGACAGCTGTTAGTTGAAAGAAAAAGATGCTTTCTTAGCAAAAAAGGGGTACAGTAATGGGTCTGTGATGATATATGATGCCAATGTAAATGATAGTTCTCAAAGAGGAAAGCAACCAGTAGAAAAGAGGATGCAGGTCTGTTAAAGAAAATTGGTAAAAGAGATGAGATTAGGAAATGAAAGGGAAGAGGAAATGAATTACAGATTTGGAATTGGAAGGAAGAAAAAAAAAAAAGGAAGTACAAATTTACTAAAGAAAAATATTAGTTATGAAAGAAAAAAGGAATTGAAAAAAAATGTACAAAATTTTTTTTTTTTAAATTTAAAAAAAAAAAAATGAAAATCAAATTGAAGTGAAAAAAATATTAAGTTCCATTCAAAAAAAAAGAAAAAATCAAATTTCTTTTGCAATAATATTCACCTAAGGCCCAAGAGTCACTCGAGGTAGAGGGTTACAGAGTAAGAGTCATAGTTAAAGTGAGATATGTGCAGAAAATAACAGTTAACTATAGATTCAAACAGATTAAGATTGTAGTGATTTGGGAAGCATCATCTTGGGAGTCAGTTCCACAAAGCAGCAGTTTAAACACCACAAATAAAAATAATTAAAAAAAAGACTTTAACAATTTTTTCAAAGAAGAGGAAGAAAAAAAATCAAGGAAAATGAATTACTAGGATTAGAAAATTCGGAATGAACTAAAAATGGAATATTATAAAAGAAAAGAAAAAGCAAGAAATAAGTTATATGAAAAAGGAAAAGAAAGGAAGGAAATACAGAAAGAAAATGAAGAAAGCAACAGTAAAAGATGCTATGTCTGTTCACAGTGGGAATAAAAAGGAATTGGTTGATGCCATGTAAGGGAAGAGAAGAATAACAGAAGTGTAATCAGGATATTTCCAACTGCTCCTGTATCTGGGATTCCAAGCAGCTAATTTGTGCCATTTTCAAATTGGTTCACAAATTTCTAGAAAGGCTAAATCCCAAAGCACCCAACTGTGTATGAACTTTGCAAAAGGCTGAGTCAGTTTGTAGCAAATGCACTGCATGCCAGACACCCCGTAACAGCTTGCTGAGAATCAGCTATCGACCCTGTCAGATTAGACAAACTGAATGAGTGAAAGGAAATTATTATGCTGACAGGTAAACAGATAATTATATTAATAATAATAGTACCAGGCTTACTAGTAATCACAAAAGTCATAGCTACATTATAATAATAATAAGTATCTTTTATGCCAGTAATAAATATAAGCAGATATTTATATCTTTTGAGTACTAGAAAGAATATCGTACGAAACAGCACTCATAGTTCAGCAACTAATGGTTTTTGATATTGCTTTCAGTTTGAACAAAATTATGAGAACATTTGAAATGTCTGTAAATGTCAGAATAATTTATATGGCAGATGTGTGATGGTGTAACAGTTGTTGATGGCGAAAGTGAGATCAGCAGATTGAGTTCAAATTCTAGCTAAGGCTGTTGCATTAAATTTGCAATAATGCTCTTGAGAAAGATATGAATCCCTCTCTTATCTCACCAGTTATGGGTGAAAAAGTAGTGCAGATTGGGTTCTGTAGTCTTGGTAGTGCATCTAGTCCAAGAAGACAACACATTTAAAACTCTGGAAAAGACAACAATCCCTCTCTTCTCTCACAAGTTATGGGTAAAATAGCAGTGCAGATTGGATTTTGTAGCTTTGGTAGTGCAGCCAGTCTAAGACAACTCTGCATTCAAAACTATGGAAAAGACAACAGGAAATCATTTTACTATGATTTCCAAAGAATAGTAATGACAATTCACTGATGTTTTAAAAAACCAAAAATAAACCCAAAGAGAAACCTGTGGAGAAACATAATCACCCATGTCCTGAAGAGACATGGCCATTTAAAAAAAATCAGTTCTCATACATAGCTTGGAAGAGGACATTTCATCACCGCTGACTCAACATCACAAGTATATGTAGGCAGATAAAAGAATTTTGCAGATTGTTTCTTCTTTTGCACAATGATCACCAACTGAATATTTGAGGGGAACTGCATACAATTTTCAATAAATTTTTAAATTAAAAATAAAGTCATGTATTAAAAAATGATCCTTAATAAATTACTTTTATTTATTTTTAAAAAGTTGATGAAAAAATATCATAGTTTGTATGTTATTGGATGTTACATCAATTTGACAGTGATAAGTCATCCTGCACCCTACATAGCAATTCAAAAGCAATTTTAATTTTGTGAAAAGCAAGAAGGCACACATAGTCAAATCTGGAGAAGAAATGGAGCTTACAACCTTTGGTGATTTGCTACTTTACCAAAACTCTCCATTGATACGTGAAAAAAAATCTCCCCACCCACTCACTGTGACTATGATGGTCACAGAGTACATAACTTTACCCTACAGACGTGCGCCAGTTCATGCATGCACAGTAAGATCCCCACTTACATCAATGGCATGCAAATGGTTCTCAAGATATTCGAAATGGTTGGATACATTCCAGACAGACCTCATAGAGCTAAACTCCTTTCTTTATTTACACTACAATGCTATTCTTAGATCAAATTTAGTGTTTACAGGCTGCTGTAACCACTTATAAATGGATGTCTTATTAAGGAATAAGAAAGGGGGTCACTTGGATCAAAATAAATGACTTACATGACTCAAAGGCAACTAAGTTCAGAGTAAAGCTCTGGAACCAACTGCATGTTAGCAAGAGGAAATTTTAGTCACTTTGTGTTGCTACTTGAATAAGCCATTATGAAATATACACAGTAATGCTAATATTATTCAAAATAAAAAAAATAAGAGATAGTACGAGGTAAAAATAAAAGCAACTTGAAAGTAAATATTAAAGAGTAGGTAGATGTAAAATTACCTACAAAAATGTACACACCCTTATAGACAAGCAGAGATAAGTATGCAGATGTTGGTGTTTCTCTTGTGATGTTGAGAAAAAGACATGTCAAGTGCTCTCCTATCATTCAACACATTGGTTAGATCATTGGAAGAAAAGTGAACAGTTCAGTGAAAACCTCACATGTTATGAAACAGTCATCTTGGCTTAGCAGAACAAAGGAAAAGAAGGGATCAGTCCTAAGAAAAAAAAAAAAGGAAGGAAGGAAAAAGATCAGGTAAAGAAATAAGAGATCAGGTAAAAGAAAGGAAGGAAGAAAAGTTTTGGTAAAAAAAACTAATGAAGAAAAGATCAAGTAAAAGAAAGTAAGAAAAGATCAGCTAAAAAGACGGGAATGAAAGAAAGATTTGGTAAAAGAAGGAAAGGAAGAAAAGATTTGGTAAAAGAAGGAATGGAAGAAAAGATTTGGTAAAAGAAGGAAAGGAAGAAAAGATTTGGTAAAAGAAGGAAAGGAAGAAAAGATTTGGTAAAAGAAGGAAAGGAAGAAAAGATTTGGTAAAAGAAGGAAAGGAAGAAAAGATTTGGTAAAAGAAGGAATGGAAGAAAAGATTTGGTAAAAGAAGGAAAGGAAGAAAAGATTTGGTAAAAGAAGGAAAGGAAGAAAAGATTTGGTAAAAGAAGGAATGGAAGAAAAGATTTGGTAAAAGAAGGAAAGGAAGAAAAGATTTGGTAAAAGAAAAGAAATATTTTTTAATTCAGTATAAACTGATAAAAAAAATGGATGAAAGCAATTACTGCCTAAATATACTGTTTAAAATATGTAATAATCATGATTTATTATATAAACAGGTTTGTTTAGCAGATTTTTGGAGTGATAATCTGTTAGATGTTGGACTAATTTCATTATAAATTCTGCCTTTTTCTAAAAACTTGCTATCCAGTGAATATGCCTTAAAAGGTTAGATTTTTCACACAGTGCCACCTGAACACTTAGTTCTAAAAATCATATGCAAAAAAAAAAAAAAAACAATGCTTGAATTTAGATTTAAAATGGTTTAAAATATTTCTAACATGAAAATATGACGATAATATTCTTTCTTTCAAAATTTCTTTCTCTCTCATCCCAGTGTCAGTCTCTATTAATCTAAATCCAAAGTTGCTAGAGCTTGATTTGATATGTTTCCTGTTCACACATGAAAAAAAATGTAAAAAAAAAGAATTTGTTTCCTTCTTATTGTATAGACAAGCAGTTGAATAAACTATCATGTCTGCCAAGTTGGAAATTGTCTGAGTGGTCTACTTTTGCAAATGGTTATTCCTATTGATTTTAGTAACATTGTCTTTCTTGTTGTGTAGTTAAATTTTGTATAATAAACTTCGGTGGAAGATAAAACTGATTTTTGATGATTGGGATAGTAGCATATAATCTCAGAAAATATCTACTTCTGGTTGTTTCAGAATTATTTCATCTTGAAAAAATATTTCTACTTAATAATTTCTGCATAAAATGTTTGGGTTTTTTTTTTTTTAATCTTTCTTTTTCTTTACATTCTGTATTTTGCTTAAACTACTTTTGGTTATTTAAAAAGAAAATTATCCCTTTAGAAAGAAAAAGGTAAAAAAAAAAATGATTGACCCCCCTCCTGATTACTTTTTTCTTTTTCTTTTCTCTGTATCATTGTTCATTCATTACACACTATGTTTCATTTAAAGTTTTCAAATGAGAAATTATTAGCATTATAAAGAAATTATTAGCATTATAAAGAAATTATTAGCATTATAAAGAAATTATTAGCATTATAAAGAAATTATTAGCATTATACACTAATTTTCTCAGTCTAGTGTCCCCATCCTAGTAATTATAGTCATGTTTCTGCCATTGTACCTTCAGACCTTCTTAAGGTATCCCTCATTATTGGTAATCTGGTAATTTTGAATCAAACTTTTTATTCAGTCCATGTTCAGGGGTGTGGGGTAGATTGTGCTTATTCTACTGTCCATGGTAGAGGATATCTCATATCAGTTTAATTCTTTATATTTAATTAGTCCTTGTTATATCACTTGCATCTTTCACTGAACCAGTTTATACGTCTTCTTTTTTTTTTGCACATCCTGGGATTGAAAAAAAACAGCAGAAAAATTGTGACCATCAAAATCAAGATGTGGACATTATTCCAAGTAAATCAGTATAAATTAAAATAGGTCTTACTAATCTGCTGTTTTTATGGTTAATATTTCTCAGAACAATAACAAAAATACATAAAGAACAATATCACTATTTACATTGCTTGGACTATCATCCTCATCTTTGTTGCCATAGTTATCATAACATTTTGCCCGTTGTATGCTCCGGCATTCTTCAGAACATACAACAGCCAAAACATTGTGATAAATATGGCAACAAAGATGAGGATGATAGTCTGAGCAATATAAATAGTGTACATAATACCTCATCTCAGAAATATAGACAAACAACAATATTGTTTTGATTTTATTTTTTACTAGATGAAATCAATATCATCAATTTGTGACTAGTGTTTATGTTCATGTTAATTATTTTATTAATATTCATATACAAAAGGAATGAGAGTTTTTCACTTATTTCTGATTTTGCAGTCTACATAGTGCCATAGATTGATGGTTTGTGTAAAGGTTGCAATAAAAACCAACTAAAACTTATGATAAAAGTAAATGCTAATTCAAAATTAATAATAATGGTTGATAATGCTTCATCTACTATGAATAAAAGATAAAGATAAAATTGTTCTTATTAATAATACTATTTCTACTATTGTAAATTCAGAAACAAATAGGATAAACATAATGGAATAAAGTGATCACATTATATGCCAGACTTGATCTTATGTAAAGCCACCAAATTTCTTGTAGCCTAGTAGTTACAAACAGCTGGCCATTTTACCAGGATTTTCTTAGGCAAAAGGAACGTTATTTCAAATCTTACTAAATCGCCGATGGTGCAGTCACCTTTTAGTTTTTCTTTGTTCTTCTTCCTTTTCATCACTGGTGTCGTCTTTGTGAATGCCAAAACCCTTCAGCCTTTTGTTCTCTAAGCGGCTGATAGCAATTTTTGCCTGTGAAAACTAAGGCCCTTTAATAAAAGCAAAGTGCCTAAAATCTTTTATTTCTAACTCTGAACTCAATGTTGGAGATTAACAAACTGAATAGTTGTCAGAAAAACACCTAAAATTTAAGATGGAAATAAGGACACATGAAAAAATAATATTTGAATGTAGATCAGTATAATAATTCAGTAATTATTGTGTTTTCAGTATATACTAATACTTGAATATAGTTCAGTGTAGTTGTCAGTATACAGAAAAATTATTCACATTGTGTATATATACATAATATGCACACACAGACATGCACCATATATATATATATATATATATATATATATATATATATATATATTGCACATATATGATACACACATGTACACCTATATATATATATTGCAATGAACCATTGATACAAAAAGCAAATTAGTAAAGTTAATGATATATAATGGTGAAATCACTTCACTAACTAAATTTTAAAGATGCATTAACCCATTAATCACTTGATGAATGTTATGATCCTTGTTTTTTAAAATTATAAACTGTATTAGGTCTTCCTTAAATATGCAAGTACTTTCAACAGGTCCACCAGTCATCATCAATAACACATTTCAAAAAAACATATTTCAATTTGCTTTATATTTTTCGTCTTGAATGCTACCTGAATTTTACCAAAAAGAAAATAGTTTCCAGGCTTGATGATGACCAGAGGACCAGTCGAAAGTACTAGCATATTTAAGGAAGACCTAATACAGTTTTTAATTTAAAAAAACAAGGATCATAACATTCATTGAGTGCTTAGTGGGTTAATGCATCTTTAAAATTTTGTTAGTGAAGTGATTTCACCATTTTATATTATTAACTTTACTAATTTACATTTTGTATGAATGATTCATTATAATATAAATTAAACTGCACCACATATTTTGATATATATATATATATATATATATATATATATATATATATATATATATATGACACACACACACACACACACACACATATATATATATATATATATATTATATATACATGAATGATACATAGATATTGATGTGATTAATGATTAGTAAACAGGAAAATGGAAACAGTTCCTAATCCAGATTGGTAAATATTTATGCTTTGTGAAAGAGATAAATTTTTTTCACTTCAACCTAAAAGATTAATTCATCAAAACTACTTAAATTTACATTTCCATCATTTTTGCGTTGGGGGGTAGGTGGGGCATAAAAATTTACTGCAGAGTTCACATATAATTTAAATTTATATAATTTTGTTATATAATTCAGATTTTCTTTAGAGTTACTGTACAGTTTTATCAATCCAACAAACAAAATACCTGAAATTCTTCAACAATTTCTTCCAACACACACATTATAAACAAACATATGAAGACAGCTGGGCTGGAAGAAGAGATAAAGAAAAGGTTTGTGTCTTACCCGCAGTGTTTACAAAGGGGGAAAAAAGAACTTACCTGAAAAGAGAAAGAAAAAAAAACAGATGTTAGATGAAGATAATAAAAGAAAAAAAGAACAAGCAAAAAGAAAAGAATCTTATCATAAAATATTTGCTATTTTAGGTTTTCACATTGGATTTTGTATAATGAAGATTAAAAGGTTGAATAAGGTTGGTAGTAATCCAAGAGAAATCCTAAAATTACATCTGTTCAGGTTCTTCCAGGAGAACATCTCCAGAAAATAGCACTTATTACAAGCATCAGTTCAAAAATATAAGTCATTAATCTTTTAATTAACAAATTATGCACCATGTGACAATTACAACTGAATCTTTCTTGCTTTCAATGATTTAAATTAGTCAATGATATCAGTTTCTTGAATTTTATTTCCTAGTTTGAGCAAAAGAACACAGACTCTTTCCTCTTGCTTAACCCATAGAAACTCAAATGGAGTTAGATAGCTTTTTATCTTTAGAAAAGTTATGAGAAACCAAAGATGGAGTATTGACACCCTATCTCAGCTGGAGCTGTACAATCCTCACTTTTCAGCTTTGATGTGGTCTTGGGGCAGAAGACATTCTCCACTCTACGGTCCCTTTCCCATGCCTGTTAGTACTCACTATTTCCATGGCCAGTATTCAGATGAGCTCCATTCTTGTCCAGGCATTTCCAGCTAGAACACACCATGTTGTTTCCACAGAGCAAAAAACACTCTCATTTCCCCTGTATTCCAAAGGTAAGAAAAAAGTTCCCCAAATCTGTTACTTTATGGAAGAGAATCCCACAGAATATGTTCTTCACTGGAAACTTCAATCTTAATGTCTTCAAGGCAAGGTTCAATCTTTATGTCTTTATAATCTTCATTTTCTAACACCTCTTCTTTCTTTTATATCACACATCTTGTTCAGTAAGCCTCAATTTTGAGTGGTTCTTGAGCCTTATATTGGGTGAATCCTAGTGTGTGTGTATATATATATATATATATATATATATATATATATATATATTTAAAAGCTCTGAGTATTGTATTTTTATCTAATAATTTATTAAAGAGGGTTAACAATTTAACCACCCTAATTTTTCTCACTTGTGATCATCAAAGACAGATCTGAAGAAAATTACTTTTACATTATCCAAAGATAGCTGCTCAGTGGCACTTAATTCAGATGGGGTACCCAAGGTATGTCCCTCGCCTGCCATACTTCAGGTATGCCATTGATTTCTTCACTGTGTAGTTATTTCTCATATTTGAATTCTAACAATTCAGGCACACAGATGATGATATGAGATACTAGTAAAATCTGAGGAGAAAATTTCATGGTGTATTTCTGTCATGGGAGGATACATTTTTTTAAATCTGGCTGTATAGTAGATCTACTGCTTCTGTATTCATAAGCATTTTTAAAAAGATCATTAATTCATATATATTTCAATATTACGCACACAAAATACTGTATCTCTTCTGTTTATAAATGTGAATGAAAAAGAAGCAGTATTCTTCTTAATTTTGAAGCCCTTCACAAAGGAAAATCTTCCTCTTATTCTGCATTGGCATTCTCTTATTTGGCCACCATTTTAACTCCTACATGTCACACTGTCCTGACAGTGAAAAACAAAAAAAAAAAAAGAAGTTTATTAAAGAGGATTAACCACCCTCATGTTTCTCACTTGTGATCATCAAAGACAGAACTGGAGAAAATTATTTTTGCACTATCCAAAGATATCTACTTGGTGGCACTTAATTCAAGTGGGATACCCAGGGTATGTGCCACATGTTATACTGTCCTAACTGTGAAAACAAAAAGCAGAAATATAAAGTTGTTGATGGCTAAATACTGGTTGTTGTAAGTATATTCCCCTCATATTCTTCAGTCTTAATCATTATTATTGAATGACATATCTTTTACTGTATTTTTAAACATCCAAATAGAATTATGACACTAATGGTGAAAGAATTGTGTACATTGTACTTATATAACAAGTAGCATTACTTTTGGTTAAAATTTATAAAATCTTTTTCTTAAAAGTTTTTCAGGGAATCAGACTTTTCAAGGCCATTATTATCACTTATTATGATAAGTGATAATAATTAATATTGATGAGTTTCCTTCCAAACTTTTTGTTTATGGTGGTGTTGAAAGTTAACATTTTGATTATATCAGTATTTTCATTTCTAGTTGCTATCCATTTTCTTGCTGTTGGAAGTGTTCAGGTGATGTGGTTTTTGCTATTTGGTAAAGCACTTTGACTGTATTAAAAAATATCAATCTATAGGGGAGGTGTCTTTTTTAATGCTTAAAGGATTCATTTGCTTGAATCCATTTTTAATGATTGATCTGGGAAAAAAAATGGTTGAATATAGATAAGTTTAAACATTTTTGAACGAGTTGAACACTAAGGAGATATCCAGAGGCAGCATGGTACCTTCTAACAGAAAAGTGTTTTGGAGATTTTAGAAAATGTTATAGATGCCATACATACATAAATCAATACAAATAAATATTAATGTATACATGAATTCAAAGATGCAGGTTTTTAAAGAAGTATATTTAAAAACTTTGCTAAGTTCTCAGCAATTTTTGCTGGCATATCTATTGTGTTGGATTTTTCCATTTTTGTCTAGATAAATCAGTTTTCAATTAAAATTTTACTTGTTATTTAGAGACAAATAAGTAAAATAAAAGTTTGTTTTCAACTGACAGAATACTCTTAATATACATGTGGGTACACACACACACACACACAAAGAGAAGAGAAAAAGAAAGGAAAAAGAAAGAGATAAAAAAGAAGGAGAAAGAGAAAAAGAAAAGAAAAGAGAAAGAAAAAAGAGGAGAGAGAGAAAAGGAAAGAAAGAGAAAAGGAAAGAAAGAGAAAAAGAAAGAAAGAGAAAAAGAAAGAAAGAGAAAAAGAAAGAAAGAGAAAAAGAAAGAAAGAGAAAAAGAAAAAAAGAAGTTGATTTATATTAAAATATTGTTGGGCATTTATTTTCATCCAAATATTTATTCTTCAGGAAAGACCATCTCAACTATTCTTACCTACATTCAGTCTTTATACAATTTGGTCTTGCATGTTTTTTTTACTTTTATCCTTTTTATAATTTTAGTGATAGATTTTGTGCCTACAAGTGAAAAACTTTTTTTTTTTTTAAATGTGGGGAATCACTTCACTAGATAGAAAAGAATGATTCCCTATATACCTTAGTAGTAAATGTAACCTCAAATAACAATCTGTTGTGATTCCAAAATAAACATTTTAAGCAATCAATCATCCTAGTCATTGGTAGGATTCCAAGTTAAAATTTAATACCAGGAATTAAATACAAAATTTAAAGATTTTTGTAATTATTTCAGTGGAACAATTTTTTTTTTTTTTTTTATGTGGATGCTTGAAGTAAACTTTGAAAATATAGAAACAAACCAGATAGTAAAATATCTGAATAACTAAAGTTGATCACAATCTTTTATGGTTTTGTTAAAAAAAAAAAAAAAAAATTAAGATTTACAATAATAACCATATTTTATCCATTTTGGGAAGGGCGTATTTTTATTGAATATAGACCCCCCCCAATGGCTGATTTCAGAACACCATAAAAAATGACTGTTTCAAAAAGAAATAAAGAAACAAACAATTAAGAGCAAAAGTAAAAAGACTTTTGAAAGTGATCTGTAGCTTTTTTTTTTAATGCTCACAGCAGCACACACAATAACTAGCCAATCAGCAGTTCAGGATTTACAGCAGATGCAACATGGTCATGTGACATTGTCACCAGTCTTTCTTTCCTTGCCTCTCTTTATTCCACTCAGCTGATGTCATTCTATATTTAATAGCTGATGGATATGGAAATAATTAACCAACCACAAAGAGGAGAATGAGAGAAGGAATTAGTTTATGGCATGCCCCTGGCAGCTGATTAAAATCTTAAGAAATGAAATTAAAAAGAAAGTTAGAAACATTTAGATTTGAAATGCATATGGATAGTTTTATTGAGGCATATGCCAGATATTCAAGGAAAAAGATTTTAAACAAGCAAAAGAGTTTTTTAGCATACATTTCACACCAACAAAGTCTTGACTATATTAACTCTCCTTTTAAAAGATCATGTAAGGAAAAAAGTATGGAGAAAAGGGTGGATTACATTCCATATTAAGAGAAATAATATGGAAATTATGTGACTGAGAAAATTAACAAATGGATTTTGTTATATTCTGTGCTAATAGGAATATATACTTGAAAAACATGGTGGATAAAATAAGTAAAGGTTTATTGTAAAAAAACAGTACAATAAGAATAAAGGTATAGTTATGCACAAGGTCATCACAAGTCAATCCAGTATTGAGTGCTACTATTGGAAAGTCGGTAGTTCTCGGGTAAATCTGAGTCGTACTCAACAGATCCCAGCTACAATATTTAGCCACCCCCCACAAGGGTTTCATGTGGCACAGGCCGGGTTTAACGTGGGTTCTCCGAGCCCATAGGCTCTGCCAAAATATTCCCTTTCGAACGCATACAAATGGGTTCAGGGGCAGTCTACCTCCCCGAACGAGACTGCTCTTCGGCGGAGCCTCGTCTGGATTCCTCTCTGCCCGAAGACAGAGAATTTGACTGTTTAGCTGGAAATGATTGCAGCTAGACTCTGTAGTCTGTTGACTTACAGATACTTATAGATAGTTACTAACTATAGTGTAGTCACTCATGGGGGTGACAGTTTATTCCATTACATCACCTTCCCCCGAGTTGAAATTTTCCTCTAGAAAATTTAGCTTTCTAATACTTTCTCTTTTTTGGTTCTGGACTTAAAAGCACTGTGAGTTTTCTTTTTCTTTTACTCTTTCGAGGTGAATAACATCTCACTCCTACGGGCAAAGCTAGTGTAGGAAATGTATCCATGCGTTCTAGTATGTTAGTGGGTGGTGTTATTTCAAACATGTCATACAGGACATCCATCAGAATTTCTTCATCATCTTGAACGATTTCAGAGTATCTTGGTCTTAACTGGTTTACATGCCTTTTGCATACACATCTTTTTCCTTTCACCGTATAGATAACTCTTCCAATTCTATTTGAAATAATTCCATCCTCCCAAAAATATTTTCCACCTCAGTAGTTCCTGAAGAAAACTTTATCACCAGGTGTTTACTTCTTTGCACAGAAATTCTCTTTGTTACGCATTTTCTTTTTTGGACAAGACAACAATCTGTCGAACATTGATCTTATCTTTCTCACAAACATCAATTCAGCAGATTTTAACAAGAAATCATATATAGAAATAATAATCATGGAAATGGTCTGTACTGAATAATAGAAAACTTTCATAAAATCCGGTCTTCATTACCACAAAAGATCTGTTGTGAGTAATAGTATAGAGCAGTGGTTTTCAACCAGGGTTCCGTGGAACCCTAGCCTTCCGCCAGTAAAGCTCAGGGGTTCCGCAAGAAGTTACACAACTACTACGATTGACAGTAATTTTTAATTCTCCTGTGCAGATATATGTGTTTAGGTACCGCCACTAAATCAATAACAAAACAGCATAGTATGAATAAAAAAAGTTCCAAACTTAAAATAAATGTAATCCATTTAAACTGAAGTTTTTTAATACATGTTTAATAACCGTAGAAACAAGATTAAAATTGCATATGTACGTATACAATATTTTTACAGTTTGTCTTTGCATTTTTTTGTAAATAAATCTGAAGATGAGTATTTTTATTCTATTTTAATAATTGAAAGACAATTAATTTATTGCAGGGGTTCCTCGAGCCACTGGAATGTTTCCTTGTGGTTCCGCTCCAGCAAAAAGGTTGAAAACCACTGGTATAGAGAGATTTTATATTTAAAATTTCTACATAATAGTGACATACTGGAAGACTTTATAGATCCATTTTCATAGCACCAACTAAGAAGCCAAGTGCAGATGAATATGAGAAAACTTATATCAAACTTATCAAATTCTGATGAATAATGCATGTATTTTCTACATGCACTATTCATCAGAATTTGATAAGACAAAAACAGTGCAGTTTTGTTAAACACACTGGAACAAGTAATATGATAATTATGCTCAGAATATCAGAAAGAGAAATACAAATGCAAAAGGATATATACCTTTGTTTTATAGATTATGCAAAAGTGTTTGATCAGCTAACCCAAAGAACTGTTTGAACTGCTAGGTAAGCTTCATTTATTTGAGAAAGATATTAGGATAATCCAGAACTTATGCTGGGAGCAAACCTCTTGCATATGGATAGTGTTATATTCTGTGCTAATAGGAATATATATGTGACAAACACAGTGGATAAAATAGGTAAATGTTTATTGTAAAAACCAGTACAATAAGAAATAAGGTAACAGTTATGTGTATGATTGTCGCAAGTCAATTCAATAGTGAGTACTATTATTAGAAGGTCGGTAGTTCTTGCATAAGTAGTACTCAACAGATCCCAGCTAGACTCCATAGTCTATTGACTTACAGATACTTATAGGTAGTTACTACCTATAGTGTAGTTATTCATGGGGGTGACATGTTATTCCATTACATCAGATAGAAAATGAATTCAGTAAATACAAAAATAAAAAGGGGCATAAAAGAAGGACTTGTCTTCTCACTAAACTTATTCAACCTTTACAGTGAGGCAATCCTGAGAAAACTAGAAGTCCTACCAGGATTTATTATTGAGAGACACAATCTTAACAACATAAGATACACCAATGATACAGTGTTGATAGCAGACACAGAAGAAAACTGCAAAAACTTGTAAAGCAGGTAGTAAAGGTTTGGTTTGGTTTGTTTTACGGCATATCAAGCTCAACGGGTCATTTAATGCTGACAAAATTTTTATTGCTACTAATATTTTGTTTTATCAAAAAAAATATTTCTGGTAATATTTTTCCTTCAAAAATGTATTGCTGGTAATAATTCTTTTTCCAAAAAGTATTGCTGGTAATATTTTTTTCCTCAAAAATATATAGCTGGTAACATTTGTTTTTTCAAAAATATATTGCTGGTAACATTTGTTTTTTCAAAAATATATTGCTGGTAATAGTTTTTTTCTACAAAAATTTATTGCTGGGAATAATTTTTTACAAAGTATTTCTGGTATTAAAACCTATTTTTACACTTTCATAGTGTTTTTACCCCAGTTTCAGGGTTAACTATTTGCCCATAGCTGGGACCCTAACAGATGCTACCACACCAGGTCAGGTTCCACGCTCCTCAAAACCTCCCGATCAGAGGCCTTGCTGCTGGACGTAGTTTATCATCTTACCCAGTATGGAGATAGTAAAGGAAAGTGAGAAGAAAGAACTGATCTTCAATTGCAAGATGACAGAATGAAATGGTTGTTAGCAAAAGGAACAACCCAAGATGTGAACTATGAATTGGAGACACCAAAATCAAGGAATTTTGTAAATTTAAATATCTGGAAAACATTTTAACAGAATGTGTAAAATATGATGCCGAAATCCAAAGGTGCATTGGAATAGTGAAAGATTGCTAAAAGCTAAGCAAATTGTTAAGAAACAGGAAAATGTTAAAAACCAATAAAATAGTGCTGAACTGTTACGTAATATCAGTCCTCCTATATAGGAGTGAATGCTGAACACTCTCCTGGGTATAACGATAAACTACAACAAGGCTTCTGATGGGGGGATTGGAGGTTTTGAGGAGCATGGAACCACCTCTTAATTGCTGTTGTTCCCAGGTCCACCCTGTCCTGGGGTGGTAGCACCTGCTAGAGTCCCAGCTCTGGGCAAAATGAACCCCCAAGCAAAAACAAAACACTATGAAAGTATAAAAATACTTTTTTATAGTAAAATTACCAGCAATACATTTTTATATAAAAAGATTACCAACAATACATATTTATAGTAAAATTATCAACAATATGCACATATGAACAAATTGTAGTAACTTCAACCAAATCTATTTAAAATACTACCAAACAACCAACATGAACTCTTTCATGCCATTAAATCTTACAATTTCTTAAATCAAA